GCCTGCGCGAGACCTGACCTGCGCGAGACCTGGCCTGCGCGAGACCTGGCCTGCGCGAGACCTGGCCTGCGCGAGACCTGGCCTGCGCGAGACCTGGCCTGCGCGAGACCTGGCCTGCGCGAGACCTGACCTGCGCGAGACCTGGCCTGCGCGAGACCTGGCCTGCGCGAGACCTGGCCTGCGCGAGACCTGACCTGCGCGAGACCTGATCTGCGCGAGACCTGACCTGCGCGAGACCTGGCCTGCGCGAGATCTGACCTGCGCGAGACCTGACCTGCGCGAGACCTGGCCTGCGCGAGACCTGGCCTGCGCGAGACCTGGCCTGCGCGAGACCTGATCTGCGCGAGACCTGACCTGCGCGAGACCTGGCCTGCGCGAGACCTGGCCTGCGCGAGACCTGGCCTGCGCGAGACCTGACCTGCGCGAGACCTGACCTGCGCGAGACCTGACCTGCGCGAGACCTGGCCTGCGCGAGACCTGGCCTGCGCGAGATCTGACCTGCGCGAGGCCTGACCTGCGCGAGACCTGACCTGCGCGAGACCTGGCCTGCGCGAGATCTGACCTGCGCGAGACCTGACCTGCGCGAGACCTGACCTGCGCGAGACCTGGCCTGCGCGAGATCTGACCTGCGCGAGACCTGACCTGCGCGAGACCTGGGCTGCGCGAGACCTCGCCTGCGCGAGACCTGGCCTGCGCGAGACCTGGCCTGCGCGAGACCTGGCCTGCGCGAGACCTGATCTGCGCGAGACCAGGCCTGCGCGAGACCTGGCCTGCGCGAGACCTGGCCTGCGCGAGACCTGGCCTGCGCGAGACCTGGCCTGCGCGAGACCTGGCCTGCGCGAGACCTGGCCTGCGCGAGACCTGGCCTGCGCGAGACCTGGAAATTATTCATCAGTGGATCTTCTTCAACAATTGAAGAACATTTTTTCAGCACCATGGGATCTTTTTGCTTTTGCATACATCGTGAATTCAGAAAAAATAATGTTGAAAAAATTGATTCAATATCTACTTATATTGTGAGCTTCATACATATATACATATTCATTCATTTCACTATCGTGCTTCAAGAGTTGCTAATGTCCACAAAATAATTCATTATTAACAGACTCAAAATAACATACTTTGATCGCCGGAACTTTTAGCTCGTCTTCAACCCTGGTTTTGACCCCCAAGGGGTTAAACGCAACCCTCGAGCGGTTCAACATACATGCATTGCAATTTTATTGATTTATTTTATATTCTTCTTCATTTATTATTATTATTTTTATTACCTATTCTATCTATTGTCTTCGGGTAGCCGATAAATGAAATAGGTAATAAAAACATGCAAATAACATGCTACGTTAGTTCCTATATCTACTACTTGAGTTTGTTCCTATATATCCTACTTGATATCTGTAGTCACATCTCACGTAGGAATACTTATCCACGTACCTGCTGCAAGTAGCAAAGTCCTGTAAGAATTACCTGCTTCATGTACTTCAATAAACGAGTTATAATTGTAATATCCTAGACATCTTATTTTACATACTCGCATTATAAGAATAAATAAGATCGCTCGTTACTTACCGGTGCAACTACGAATAGTGTAAACCGTCAATCACTTACATTTGTTCCATGTACATGTTACTGTGCTTAAAAGTTACATGTACATGTTACTGTGCCCAAAAGTTACATGTACATGTTACTGTGCCCAAAAGTTACATGTACATGTTACTGTGCCCAAAAGTTACATGTACATGTTACTGTGCCTAAAAGTTACATGTACATGTTACTGTGCCCAAAAGTTACATATACATGTTACTGTGCTTAAAAGTTACATGTACATGTTACTGTGCTTAATAGTTACATGTACATGTAACTTTTGTAACATGTAAAAGTTACCTGTACATGTTATTGTGCTTAAAAGTTACATGTGCATGTAACTTTTGTAGCATGTAAAGTTAGATGTACATGTTACTTTTGTAACATTTAAAAGTTACATGCACATGTTACTTTTGTAGCATATAAAAGTTACATGCACATGTTACTTTTGTAACATTTAAAAGTTACATGCACATGTTACTTTTGTAACATTTAAAAGTTACATGCACATGTTACTTTTGTAACATTTAAAAGTTACATGNCAAAGTGCAACTGAAATGAAGTGAAACTGAAGCGAAGTGCAACTGAAATGAAGTGAAACTGAAGCAAAGTGCAACTGAAATGAAGTTAAACTGAAGCGAAGTGCACCTGAAATGAAGTGAAACTGAAGCGAAGTGCAACTGAAGCGAAGTGCAACTGAAATGAAGTGAAACTGAAGCGAAGTGCAACTGAAATGAAGTGCAAGTCACATGAAGAGAAACTCAAAGGAAATAAAATTTAAATGAATTACAAAATTAAATAATTATCAATTCTGATAATTATATCAATTATTATTATCAATTATAATTATAATTAATGATAGATGACTTCTATCAAGTCATCTATAAATATAACTGCATACTTTCGCAGCAAATTGATCTTTTAAAAAGAATATGGTAATATTAACAGGGATTGATCACCTAAACAGGAATTTATACCTTAAAACAAATGGATCCTTTAAACGAAAATTGGTCCTTGGAACTGGAATTTGCAACACAACAGGGATTTATATCATCAAAAAAATAGATCTTTAAGAAATAAATCAATTCATATAGTAACATAAATTGATGATCAATGCGGTATTTATCACATAAAAAGGAATAGTTTCCAAAAAATGTATTAATACCTAACACAGTAATCGATCCTTCACACAGTAGTTGATCCTTTATACGAAAACTAATCCTTTAAACAGGAATTAATCTAAATCACGAATCGATATCCTACAAACTAAGACGTCCTTTTAAAGCGTATTGATCCTTTAAACACACAGTTGAACACAAAAAAGTGTGTTTGAACACAAAAGAAACAAATAATGGAAAAAAGTGATCACCGCAAGAGGAATGAATCCTTAAAACTGGAATAGATCCTTGAAAGAGATTTTGGTTGCTTAAATAGGAGTATAGCACATAAAAATAATTGTTTTCTAAAAATGCATTTATCCTTCACACCGGAATTGATCACTTACACCGGAATTGGTTATTTACACCGGAATTGATCATTTACACCGGAGTTGATCCTTTACACCGGAGTTGATCCTTTACACCGGAATTGATCCTTTACACCGGAATTGATCATTTAAACCGGAATTGATCCTTTACACCGGAATTGATCCTTTACACCAGAATTGATCCTTTACACCGGAATTGATCCTTTACACCGCAATTGATTTTACACCGCAATTGATCCTTTACACCGGAATTGATCCTTCACACCGGAATTGATCCTTCACACCGGAATTGATCCTTTACACCGGAATTGATCCTTTACACCGGAATTAGTCGTTGTGCTACCGTATTATGTCAGTTAGAGTAGCCCTCTCTGGTAGAGCCCGCGGTAGATGATGTTACAGTAGATTGCAGCGGTAGAGAAGTAGAGGCTGAGGGTAGAGCGGCGAGGGTAGAGGGAACAAGCACCGTTTTGTTGAGGGCAGAATTGGGGTCATTGAGAACGTTGCTGCGATTAGGGTTGTTTTCGTCGTTGTCGGTGACTGCAGCTGACACCTGGGCACTAGAGCCCACACTAGGATTGGTCCTAGAGTCACCACTAGGATCGGCCCTAGAGTCTCCACTAGGATCGGCCCTAGAGTCCCCACTAGGATGGGCCCTAGAGTCCCCACTAGGATGGACCCCGGAATTCCCACTAGGATGAGTCCTGTAGTCCGGAGAATTGATCGCAGGTTCATCATCACATATCATGGACGAGACGCCAGATGCGCTCGTCATCGAGGTGGGCGTGATGGATGACGAGGTTGATTGAGTGGGCAATGCGGTTGATTGGACAGACATTTGGGTTGATTGGGTGGACGATGCTATTACTGGGACGGATGAATCGGTTGATGGGATTGGTAATTGGGTTGGAGGAATGGATGGTGACGTTGGGGGAATAGACGAAGAGGTGGATGAGTGACCAGGGACCGCTAGATCTTGGGAGACCTCGTTGAAGTAAGAGTGACGGAGTGACTGACGTGCGGACGCTCGGCTGTCTGGGACGAACGTCAGCATGCGCTGTGGGGGGCAAAAGGGACGGGGACGTTAAACAAAGATAGGGGACGTTCAACAAAATATAGAAAACCAAAGATGAAGACGTCAATAGAAAATAAATATATAGACGTTAACCAAAGATGAAGCCGTCAAACAAAAAATAAATCTGTAGACGTTAACCAATGACGAAGACGTCAACGGAAAATAAATATATAACTTTACCCAAAGATGAAGACGTCAAACGAAAAATAAATAGATGAAGACGTCTACAGGAATCAGGACTAATAAGGCAAATAATATACTGGCGCCGATACCCTAAAAAAATTAGAGTGCGAGCCCGACCATACAACAGGTGCCGCCCAAGATTTATTGGGGATAACGAAAATCAGCCGCTCATGTCAGCTTCGGATAGGCTCGAAGTGTAACCTCTGAGCAGCCATGCAAACTCGGCATGCTCGGCCACGGCCAATCTTGCCATACTCTCAGGACACTCTAACGTCGGAAAGGAGATTCTGACCAGGAGCTGATTTCGATCGGCTGGCCTAGCAGACTCTAAGCAGAGTGTAGCGAATTCTGAGCAAATTAAGCTAAATGTTACTTGATTTTAGTCACCGTGATAAAGCGCGTTATTTGCTTGCGCTCTTAATAAGGGCCGTTATTTCGTTTATTCCTGTAGTAATCAAGCCCAGCGTTTGCGAAAAGAAATCTTTCAAAAGCCAGGCATGTACAGTCAGAGCCTCACAAGTTACAAGTAGTGACCAAGTACAAGTAGTAGTGCATGTGCATTTAGTGCCAAAAAGACGTCATGTTGCAGTGACAAAGACGTCATGTTGCAGCTACAAAGACATTAAATTGCAGCTACAAAGACGTCATGTTGCAGCTACAAACACATCGTGTTGCAGCTACTAAGACGTCATGTTGCAGCTACAAAAACGTCATGTTGCAGCTACAAACACATCGTGTTGCAGCTACTAAGACGTCATGTTGCAGCTACTAAGACGTCATGTTGCAGCTACAAATACGTCATGTTGCAGCTACAAAGACGTCATGTTACAGCTACAAACACATCATGTTGCAGCAACATAGACGTAATGTTACAGCAACAAAAACGTCACGTTACGACGTAGATTATGCCGTAGGTTGCAACGTAGATTATGACGTAGGTTGCAACATAGATTATGACGTAGGTTACGACGTAGATTGCAACGTAGATTACAACGTATATTATGACGTATATTACGACGTAGACTACGACGTAGACTACGACGTACCTGCATGAGGTCAGCGGCGTCAGACGTAAGCTCAGGGACGACGTCAGGCAGCGGCTTGGGACGGTTGCCCCGGAAGCTGCTGATGCACAGGGACACATCGCTGGGCCAGTCCCGCTCACTGGGCGTCCCGATCACCCTAGTGGCACGGGGACGGGTCCAGCGTTACCGGGATGTGTTACACAAATAGGGACGGGGACGAGTCCATCGTTACCGGGATGTGTTACACAAATAGGGACGGGGACGGGTCCATCGTTACCGGGATGTTTTAAACTATTACTAATCTTTCTTGTATTTTGTACCAATTAATTTTTTATTAATGAATTCTGCAACTAATCCTCATTTCAATTAATGTATTGAGAAACTTTGAATTTGAATTGTTCCACTACTGGTGTCAGCATGACTGGCACTTTGACAGCTGATATACTACTCGTGTATATAAAGTATACAACTCACTCAAAGATACGCTGCAGCTGGTGCCACTCACTCAAAGATACGCTGCAGCTGGTGCCACTCACTCAAAGATACGCTGCAGCTGGTGCCACTCACTCAAAGATACGCTGCAGTTGGCGCCACTCACTCAAAGATACGCTGCAGTTGGTCCCCTTCAGTATGGCCCTCAAAGAGCGGTCTCTTCCTGAAGAGCTCAGCGAAGATGCAAGCGCACGACCAAATGTCCACGGGCGTCGCGTAAGAGTTGCTAAGTAGTACCTCGGGCGCGCGGTACCATAAGGTTACTACCATCGTGGTTAGTTTCATGTTGTAGTCGTAGATGCGGGCAAGACCGAAGTCCGCGATCTTGACTTTATCGTTACGATCCACGAGGATATTCTGTGGCTTTAGGTCCCGGTGAATAATGCGGTTACTGTGCAGGAAATCCACGCCGCTTAGGATTTGGTGCATCAGGAGCTGGGGAAGGGAAATGTATGCGTTATGATTATTTATTTTTCTAGGTTATTTTAATAAATAAATGTGCTTGAATTGACATGATATTGGTATTCAAAAGCAGTGTGGAAATTGATATTTGATTACCCAAAAGGTATTAAATACCCTAATTAACAGTTCTACATTAGGGTGATTGACTTACCCTGATACCCTGGGGGTGAAACTCTCCCTGGTTTAAATCTTTCCACACTTTGATACCCTGGGGTTCAATTCACCCTGACACCCATGGGGGTTGAACTCACCCTGACACCCATGGTGGTTCAACTCACCCTGACCCCTGACACCCATGGGGGTTGAACCTGTCTCTTATACACATCTAGATGTGTATAAGAGACAGACTTGCAGCTACTAAGACGTCATGTTGCAGCTACAAA